CTCAGTAAAGCCCTAAATGATTTAGAATTGAGACAGCTTCAAACTCAATCGATATGCTTGTAGAATTAACAACTAATAATAGTGTCAAGAATAGGAATGATAGATAATTAATAATCTATAAGCCGTAATGTTAATGTCTCAAGAATCGATGTAAAAGTAATGCAAAGGAAAGAGACTCAAAATGTCTCTTGCTGGAATTGAAATTCTATTCAACTGAGCGAGGTCTGTATTTTATGCCAAGTTCACAAATGAACGACTATCCGATTAATCTAATGGATACTTAGCTCGTAGGTGGCTGGACTATGCCGTAGATGCGTTCTCAGATAGCTGGAATATGCCAACGATACTCTCTCAGATGGCTGGAATATGCCGTAGATGCGTTCTCAGATAGCTGGAATATGCCAACGATACTCTCTCAGATGGCTGGAATATGCCAACGATGCTCTCTCAGATGGCTGGAATATGCCAACTATACTCTCTCTGACGGCTGGAATATGCCAACGATCCTCTCTCAAATGGCTGGAATATGCCAACGATATCCTCTTAGACGGCTGGAATATGCCGACGATACTCTCTCCGATGGCTGGAATATGCCAACGATATCCTCTTAGACGGCTGGAATATGCCGACGATACTCTCTCCGATGGCTGGAATATGCCAACGATAGTCTCTCAGACGGCTGGAATATGCCGACGATACTCTCTCCGATGGCTGGAATATGCCAACGATAGTCTCTCAGACGGCTGGAATATGCCGACGATACTCTCTCAGATGGCTGGAATATGCCAACTATACTCTCTCTGATGGCTGGAATATGCCAATTATACTCTCTCTGATGGCTGGAATATGCCAATTATACTCTCTCAGATGGCTAGAATATGCCAACTATACTTTCTCAAAAGGCGGAAATATGCCTCGACGGACATCTTGTCCATATACACAAGGAACAGAACTCCTTTGTCTCGAACTTGCAGGAAGAAGAAGGTCGAAAAGAGGGGGGCAATATGGCGTACCGGTAACCGAAACGCCACCACGCCGCGCTCGCAGCGCCTTCCAGGCGCCGATCGTAAATTCCCTATACATGCTCTAGAGCTCTCGCTAGCTCGAGCGCGGGAGCTCTGATTTAAGACTGCGAACTCGTAACATTAACATCATACTTTCACCAAATTCAATACGACGATCAAAATCATCTTCACATAGTTCCTGCGCCAGATGGATCTTATATGGATGAAATTTTTCCTTTTTTAGAATTTTATGAACTGGGGTTGATGTCGTGTTGCTGTGCAACTTTGCGAACTGAATTACGCGGATCTTCGATAAAAGACTGTAGAATATTCAATCTTTTATCAGGATTTGTAATTATTGCTGGTCTACCTTGTCTATTACGGTCATTTACGAAACCTGTTTCTTCAAAACGTTATACAGTACGAATAACAGTCGATTTAGATAAACCATTGTCCTCATTCCTAAAAGCTTGATCGAAAAGTTCTGTCACATGTGCGTAAGATTTCCTACGATCACCCCATTCTCGCATCATTAAAAGGGATACGCTCCTATTCAGGAAGCATTATAAAGTATTTTAAATAAATACTTTATAAACAATGATAACTATGATAAGCGATAAGCAATCTCAGAATGGAGTATCACGAAAAAGTATACCATCTCAATCGCAGGTCACAGAAAGAGTGAACTTGCCAGGAGAGATCTCTAGCTTATGTAGCCTCCAGCTTTGTTGAAAGGGTGGGAAGGAGGAAGAGGGAATGGAAAGGAATAGGAGGGAAAGGCGAGGAAGGAAAAGGAAAGAGTAGGAGGGAGGAGATAGCCCACATAGAAATTGATATTCAGTGGATGTCCATCAAACTTCCATAGCTCCATGGGACGTCTAAATCCATGGTGGAAGTCGGATAGACCTCCAATGGACCTCCACCTTACCTCCGCGAATCCATGAGAAATCATTTCCACGATGGAAGTCAGATAGGTCTCCATTAGAAAACCATTCGATCTCCATGGCTCCACGAGATTTTATTTCCACGTTGGAAATCAGGTGGATCTATATTAGACATCCATCCTACCCCCATGGCTCCACGAGATTTTATTTCCAGGTTGGAAATCAGGTAGATCTCCATTGGACATCCATACTACTTCCATGATTCCACGAGATTTTATTTCCACGTTGAAAATCAGGTAGATCTCCATTGGACATCCATCCTACCTCCATGGCTCCAAGAGATTTTATTTACACGTTGGAAATCAGGTAGATCTCCATTGGACATCCATTCTACCTCCATGGCTCCAAAAGATTTTATTTCCACATTGGAAATCAGGTGGATCTCTACTGGACATCCATCCTACCACCATGGCTCCACGAGAATTTCTTTTCATGTTGGAAATCAGTTAGATCTCCATTGGACATCCTTCCTACCTCCATGATTCCACGTTGGAAATCAGGTGGATCTCTATTAGATATCCGTCCTACTTCTATGGCCGCACGAAATTTTATTTCCACGTTGGAAATTATGTGGATCTCTCTATTAGACATTCATCCTACTTCCATGACTCCACGAGATTTTATTTCCACATTGGAAATAAGGTGGATCTCTATTAGACATTCATCCTACTTCCATGACTCTACGAGATTTTTTTCCATATTCGAAGGTAGATAGATCTCTATTAGACATCCATCCTACTTCCATGACTCCAAGAGATTTTATTTCCACGTTGGAAATCAGTTAGATCTACATTGGACATCCATCTTACCTCAATGATACCACGAAATTTGATTTCCATGTTGGAAATAAGGTGAATTTCTATTAGACATTCATCCTACTTCCATGACTCTACGAGATTTTTTTTCCATGTTGGAAGGTAGATAGATCTTTATTAGACATCCACCCTACCTCCATGATTCCACGAGATTTTATTTCCACGTTTGAAATCAGGTGGATGTCTATTAGACATCCATCCTACCACCATGGAGATTTTATTTCCATGTTGGAAATCAGGTAGATTTCCATCGGACATCCATCCTAACCTCCATGATTCCACGAGATTTTATTTCCAAGTAGGAAATCAGGTGGATCTCTACTAGATATCCATACAAATTCCATGACCCCACGAGATTTTTTTTTCATATTGGAAGTCAGATAGATCTCTATTATACATCCATCCTACCTCTATGATTCCACGAGATTTTATTTCTACGTTGGAAATCATGTGGATCTCTATTAGATTTCCATCCTACTACTTCTATGGCCATATGAGATTTTATTTTCACGTTGGAAATCGGATGGACCTTCATTAGACATCCATCCTACCTCCATGGTTCCATGAGATTTTATTTTCACGATGAAAATCGGATAGATCTCCATTAGACATCCATCTTACCTCCATGGCTCTACGAGATTTTATTTCCACGATGGAAATCGGATAGATCTCTACTAGATCTCCATAATATAGCCTATTAATTAATTATTAACGACATAATACATATCTATATTTATGTATAACAGCGTATTTTTAAAAGTCTAATATTAAAGTTTTATAATTAGTTCAAAGTTTTCCGCTAATCATGCAAATATGCTTAATCATTTTATATTAAAATAGTATATTAATCAGTTTATGTTAAAGAGTTATATTATTATATTACAAATTTAATTTTTACAGCTGTACATTCTATAGAAACAGTATTATCAAACAATAATGTACTAAAATTGTAACCTATATAGGATCTCCCAATTGATATACGTAACTACAAAGCGAATAAGATAATAGCTTTAAACGGTCATGCAAGTCATAGTGCTTGAATGTTTCATATACATTTAAATGTTGTACATTTAATTCTGCCAACTGCACGTCGAAACTATTTTTCATTCCTAAACGCAATCCTAACGAAACATTACTTGAAATATTTAGTTCGTGATATTAATGTCATTCTGTTAAACTTATGTTTAAGCTAAAAAATAATATCGACGCACAGAAGTTGAAATTGAGCTTATATGCAATCATTAGAATAATTTGCCGCTTTACAGTAATAAAAGTACACACTTTCAGAAGTAATTTTTTAGTCTTTGTTCAGAATTAGAGCGTTAATTCGTGCGGTCGTTGAGATCGCTCGAGAAACTTCTTCGCTTCGAATCTTTGTTGATTCGACTTTCGAGCAATGTCGACGTCGAGAGCGCGTGTTTGTGTGCCGATGACGACGGGAGTCTTTCGACACAGAAAAAAGGCCCTCGTCGTACTTGGTGTCTTACCCCCTGATTCGTCGCTCGTTGCCGGGCCGATGTTATCGGGGAATCGCGTTATCGCTTCCAAAATCAAAGCCGCGAGCCGTTCGAGTTCGCGCGACGAAAGTCAGTACGAATCTGGAGAGCGACGGGTCGAGAGGGCTCCGTCGAAGCGTCCGAGCGAACCCGGCGCAAAAATAAATCGTCTTAATTGTCGTTAACGGGGGAACCAGATCGAAGGCTCCCGCCGCCGGCAACAAAGTGGTCCTTCGAGCCGGATATCAGTGAAAACCGGATACGCGATTCTCCGTTCGTACTCATCGTGCGGGCGTACAAAGTGCTTCGGCCGCATCGGAAAAGTAACGGACGTCGCAACTCGCGTCCGTCGGTG